GTACGATAGCCTATGCTTTCCTATACAAAATGGTGCTCAATTTGGCTCTAGGGGGCAGATGGAGCTATGAAATCCTCACTGATCCCACACTGCCTTTCTGTGACCTGCCAGTTTTCTCTGGTCTTAGTCAATTCAAACAGACCAGCAGGACGGGCAGTTCTTTTTCTGGGTTCAACTATGGAGCTCCCAGTGAACGTCCCCTCCCATCTTGTTGCAGTGGAGTTCTGGCTGCTGGTGCACTTCAGATGTCCTGAATGCTTTTGGGGTTTCAAGCGCAACAACACTACACCATTGTTTCTGCTGCTTTCCTGAGTCTGTCAGTTTCCAGGTGTTACTCTGCTGTCATTCTGTCCTCTCCTATTTCTGGAATATGCCCTCTCTGCTTCACACTGGTTAATGTTTCTCCATCTGTTTAAATGTGTCCTTACACTATTCTGCCATCTTGACTCTCAAAATGTTTATTTTTATAAGTATTTATTTAGCTTGAAAGCATTACAGAGAGAAATAGAGAGTGCATGAGAGAAAGAGAGCAAGTGCTATCTCCCATTGGCTGGCTTACTTACTCCCCAAATGGCTGCAAAGGCTGGAGCTAAGCCAATCTGAATCCAGAAACTTCTAAGTCTCCAATGTAGGTTCAAGGGCTCAAATATAGGTTATGTTCTGCTTTTTTGCAAGGGTGCTGGATCAGAAGTGGAACAGTTAAGATACAAAGCGGTGCTTAATGGGATACTGGTGCCACGGTACAAGATTAGTTTGCTATGCCATGGTGCCAGATCCCAAACATTTATAGTTTTTAAGTCGGAGTAACAAATCAGACAGGGAGAGACAAAGACAGAGACCTCTTTCATCTGCTGGTTCACTCCCCTAGTGGCTGCCACAGGGCTAAGCCGCACAAAGTTGGGAACTTCATCCAAGTCTCTCCTAGTGCTTGGGTCATCTTCTGCTGCCATCCCAGGCTGTTAGCAGGGAACTGGATCAGAAGTCGAGCAGCCAGCAGAACACCCATTGAGATGCCCGTGTTGCAGACAACACTAACTGCCGTGCCCAAACATTTAAATGATGTTATATTGTCCAAATAAATGGAAGTCTTAAGTGTCGGAGAACTCTGGGTTTCTGTTCACGAGAATGTCCCTGCACAGCTTGGGAAATATTTGCTGCACCAAAACAGGCCTGGGGAGGGAAAAAAGGTTTCAGAACATGTCTGCATGAGCTCCTCCCAGCTCAACCTGCAAGCGTGGGCCCAGGTGGGGAGGGCTAACACGCCCACTCTCATGAACTCTCTCCCCATCACAAAGTCCTCCAACATCCAGAAGATCCCAGGAACATCGGCCTTTAGTTCCCTACCCTCTCTGGGAATTTACAGGCACTAGGAGTGTCAGGTGCAACCTTCCTAGACTGTTCAGTCCCTGCCTCCCTCATGCAGTCCCCAAGGCTTTGGGTCCTCAGCTGTGAGGCAGCTTTGTGCTGCTGCCTGGTATCAGTTAGACCTTTTTTGTCTCGAGTTGGAGCTGCTGTTGCCATCTGGGAGCCCTTCTGTGCTGGTCTTTCTCTTCCCCTGAAGGTATCTTTGTCTGGGGATCTCCTAGAAATTGGCTTCTTGGTGCAGTGATAGGCAGAGAGAGTAGAGAAAGTCTCTGTGCCAATACAGGCATCAGGTACAGGGCAGAGGTGGCCTCTGAGTGGAGAGGGAGCAGTTCAGAAAGGACACCCTTGGGGCATGTGCCATAGAATCCAACTGAACTTTGGAATGAGCAAGGAGGTTCACGGTGACAGTCAGATGCAGCCCTGTGGGCCTGAGTCAACCATAAGAAAATGGCACATTTAACACAGAAGGAATGTAACTTCAACCACAACCTTCTTGTTTCCTTTGTTCTGCTTGCTTCTTTCCTTTTCAGCATCTACTGTCAGCAGAACAGCTGTTGAACAGATTCTTTATTGCAAAGGAGACCCAATTTGATTCTTAAACTTGTCAAAAATATGGTTTTTGTGTGCTCCCCACATAAAAATAAACTCCAAAGAAATGAAAGGCCTGAATGTGAAAATTTCTAAAACTATTATTTAAATTTTTTGGAAAAATAGGAAGAAGTTTTTGTTTGTTTGTTTGTTTATTGAGAGACTTGTGACTCTGCTCTTTCGCAGCCTAGTCAACAAGTTGAATGCCACACAGAGGTCTCCCATGAATCTGAGAGAATAGGTACAGGCCAATCTCATTCATTTTTGTCACATACACCATCAGTTGTCCCAACACCATTTATGGACTTCTCCTGGTTCCAGACCCTGTGCCCGATGCCCATATTGGCACAGTCCCCTTTCTTGATTGGTTCTCTTCAATGACCTCTTCATCTATCATTGCACCAGCATGTTCTGTGGTGTGCCTTGTGTTGATCTGGCTTTTTCCTGGTAGCTGGTGGGTTTGGGGCAGTGCAGTTCTCAGATGTGATGGGCAGAGACTGGGGGTGCTGAGTGAAGCTCTGTGTCAGATGCATCTGTGGGAACTATGACACCTCACCTGCCTTGTTCTAGCCACACACCAGAGAGGGTTGGCTGAGCTCCTGGGAGATCATCAGAATGGGTGTGAAGTAAGGAATCATTTGGAAGCAATTATTAAAAAGAATAGATAGGGCTCAGCAACAGCTTGAATTTCTGGTGAGTAGAATAAGGAGAGAAATTTTCTAAATAGCCTTTGTATTTATGGCTCAATCAGGAGTATAAAACCATTTATGAGAGATAGTAAAGCAAAACTTATCAGTAATAAAAATATCTGCATCAAACCTACTCCTTAGAAGAATTTCTTGAGCAAATAAATAAGCCGTAGATATATCTAATCACAGGGTAGCAAGTAGTGATAACAAAAGATTTATTTCTGGAGATTACAACATTCATCACAGCTTGGATGGTTGGGTGTGGTGAACTCAATTGGTCATAGTATGTACAAATAATACTTTGTAATTGCAGAAAAGTGTCTTGAACCCAGAAACTTCTCTAGAGTGGAAAACTTGAAGACACAGCCCACACTTTGGAAGTCAAGATCCAGTGATGTCCTCACACATCGTGAAGGCATATGTACTACAGTTGACCACAAAGTGATCTCCCCTTTGCTAATGATGCTGATGAAAGAGAGGCAGCTGGTCCTGGCCCTGGGCCTCCCTCCAGCACCCTGCTTCACAAACTCCCTGCAGAAGCAGGCAGCTGGATGGGAAGGTCAGAGCTCATCAGGCAGAAGCAGCAGGACTAGGATCCCAGGCAGCAACAGAAAGAACACAGGGCTTTCTTTCCTTCCTGCACATGGGGAAGAGAAGCACAAATGTCAGTATGGGGTTCCTTGAGACATTGGCCTGCCTGGCTTTGGAGTTTCTCTTGAAACCCTGAGTTGGTGGGACTGGGATTTGCCGTCACTGCTTATACTCTCCTCTTGCCTTTCAGGGATTCTGAGAGCACTCTGAAAAAATTAGGCGACACACAAATTCATGGAGATGGAGAGAACACACACACATACACACACACACAGTGATTTAGATACATACCCTTTTACTTCTTTAACTTAAGGTCACATGAAGTTGATTGAGGCCTTGGGCCTGCTAGATCCCTGAGCTTCTCCTGAAGTCATTCTCTTGGCCCCTGTGCCCCACGCCATAGTGCACAGAAGAGAAAGGTCTGTACCATCTGGAGTGCTCAGTATCCATGCCAATGTGTGGTTACCTTCACAGGAGTCCTCATGCAGGACGATGCTGCTGGGCTCACACATCTGAGCAGTCACACACTTGCGGCTGCCTGGGTGCCCCTCTGCTGGGTTTGTAACTGAAGTGGTGGGATCTACTTCCTCACCTGGGATTCTCAGCCTACACAAACCTGAGCTTTGCTCATGTGAACCAGATCCACTGGGCAGCATCTTTCCTCTATCAGGTGGGCTACTTGACTAGCCTGTTTTTATTAGGTTTGATCCAAATTCAAAATTGCTCTGCATAAGACTTAGTATCTTCCTGTAATGGCTGTCTGTGGATCTCTTTCCACCTAAAGATTGCCATGTTTCTCACAGCCCTTCAGAGTATGAGGATGAATTTGGTTCTTTCTGCAGCTCAGACACACTTCTAGTCTAACAGCAAAGTTTGGCTGACTTCCAAATTGTGCTCAGAACTCAGCCTCAAGGCAGGCATATGACAACCTCTGGGTATGCATGGACAGGGAGACAATATCGTTGGATTACAGACAAATGATCATCAAGTAATGATGAAGGGTTACTGAGATCTATATGAGGGTCCCTGTTACAAGAAAGAGTTGGCATTTGTTATGCCAAGGGGTAAGTTGTGAACATCTGCCTCATAATTCATACAGCAGTGCTTCTGAAGTTTCTGTGACTTGTGTCCTCCAAATATCATGAAGACACTGTCACACTCCTTGCTCAGGCACCTTGAACAAAGTCACTGAGCCGCTGATGCTGAAGCCAGATATTTATTGAGCTATGTGACTCTGAACTTAGGGCAGTGCGTATAGCACAAGGTTAATTTTTCCCAAAAGCTCAAAGAAAGTTTACTACTGGGAGCAATATCCAAAGTAGATCTTGAAAGATAATTGCTCCAAAGATAATTGTTAATGCTATCTTAGGGCAACATATGCAAGGAAAGGAGAGAGATTTCAAACCCCTGATGATGGGTATTAAGGCCTGGAGGCCTCATAAAGGATGGCTGGTGAAGTCATTCCTGGTGGCACTTCTTACACATCCCTAGGCTGGGAGGGGAACAGCTTTGCTTCCTGCCCTCCACTATCACTAGAAACAGTCACTGACATACATTCACTAAGGCCTTGTCCCGTGGTTTTCCCACCTGTGACCTTTGTCAGTCTGGGTATCGTCTCCACGACAATGCAGCTGGAGAGAAATGGTTTTGGAGACAGAGGTGGCCTATGGCTAATTAGGTTGCACTAGGACTTTCTCTAGAAGTATTAACATTCATAAGAGACATTCTGGCAACAGATAAGAATCCCAATGACTTTGTGTTACTCCATCACAGGGCTTGGAGCGACAAAGATGGCAAGATGGTGGTTATATCTAAAATGGAAACAGTTATGTCAACATGAATACCTACAGATGAATCCCAGATAGATGAGTGGTTTCCATGACTCATATCTGTTGTCCAGCAGGAGGCCTATGAGCTTGGTTGCACTAGAACCATCATGGCTCTGAGACTGAGCTCTGATCAAAACCCAGGGCAGCAGCTTAGACTCCTTGCAGGAACCTTAGACTCCTCAGCAGTTACCTGGGGACTCCTTGCTCTCTGCTCTGGGTGGTTCTGGAAGGAGAGCACCCTCTCTTCTGGTGTGTGATGGTCCCCACTCCCACCTCCAATGCAGACTCACCTGCTCCACTGATACTGCTGTCATAATTTTCATAGAAACAATTGTATTTACTCGTCATGCTTTGGGGTTCTTCAAGCTCAATGGTGTTATATGTTTCCTCAGGTTTCGTGGTGATGGTGACTCTCTGGTATACCTCATAGCCTGGAATCAGAAATTCCTTCACCTCGGGATCGAGAGAAATGTCTTTGATATTAACACCCAAGCAGGATTTGATGATGAACAGGGTCCCACTTTTACGAAGAAATTCTTCAGAAATGCCTGAATTCAATGATGATGAGATAAAATGACCAAATCGTGCATTTCCTGTGCCACTGTAAGTAAATCTGGTTTCAGATGCTCTGTAAACCAGGTAACAATTGTTCGTGCTGAGAAGCTGCAGTGCTCTGGTCAGGTAATAGTGGAAGCCTTTGAAGTAAAAATTGTATTGATTCAAACGGAATGTTCTCACAGCTCTGTTAAAATCATCTGCGATATCCCCAGTATAGGCCACCAGAGCTGTTCCATGGAAATCATTCAACAGGGAGGAATAGCTTACGGTATTCTTTATTTGCCTCCAATGTTGTTCAGCCTTTTCCCATTGAATTCTGAAGCTTTCATTCATATGCATGTCTTCTTCTAACAGCTGGGGTGCAACCCTCTCCATTTTTTCTATGCAGCCCACATACTGATCATCAAATGCATTTGGAGCCGTGTCCAGCTGTTGCTCCTGGCTAGCCACCTGTCAAGGAGGAGTAGAATCCCTTGATTCTGTTAGCCCAGAATCAGCATCTGCGTGCTACTGCCCAAGCCCTTGGTATGGATGTGGGCTCAGCATGAGATCTCATGTGTTCCCATCATGGGGCTAGGCCTGGCACATGAGAAGCATTAGGCTGGCAGTGGTGGGAGAAGGGAAAACTAAGAACTACAATTGCATTTTGATTACTGGTTCTTTTTAAAAAAATCTTCTTCAAATTGTTATGTTCTAATTATCTCACGGACTCAACTCTGGGAAATCTGTTGTCTTAAAGTCAGCAGGCCATGGCAGGGGGTGGGCAAGACATGTTACCTGTGGTGTCAGCAACCCAGCCAGCACAAAGAGGAGAACTGAAAAGGCTGTCCTCATCTTCAACAATCACTGCAAACAGAGATGAGACAGTGTCAGGGATGAGCATTAGCTTGGTGCATCTCTCCTTCTCTCTGTAAATCCGTCTTTACAAGAAAATGAATATATTTTAAAATAAAGGAATTTTCCAAATTTGATCCTACCTAACCCCAATTCTGCTTGGAGTATTTCTTATGTCAAATTATTTTTTTAAAGATGTATTTACTTGAAAAAGTTACAGAGAGAAGGACAAACAAAGAGCTAGAGAGATCTTCCATGCTCAGGTTCACTTTCCAAATGCCTGCAACAGCCAATGCTGTGCCAGGCTCAAGACAAGAGTTAGAAGCTCCATTCAGTTCTTCCATGTGGATGCAGAGGCCCGAGCTCCTGTTGCCTTTTGAGGCATATTAGCAGGTAGTTGAATCAGAAATGGAGCAGCCAGGACATAAACCCATGCCCATATGGGATGCTCGTGTCACTGGCGCTTTTATTTACTATGCCTCACTGAGACCCCGTCTCTTTTTTTTTCTTTTCAAGGAAGAAAAGAAGAGAGAGTGAAACACAAAGAGAAATTGATAATCAAATGCTGGTTCACTCACCAAATGGCTGCAACAGCCAGGACTAGGCCAGTCTGGAAACAGAATCTAAAAGCTAAACATTCCATCTAGGTCTCCCATAGGTGTCAGGGACCCAAGATTTTGGGCCACCCTCTTCTGCCTTCTTAAGCTCCTTAACAAGGAGCTGGATCAGAAGTGGAACATACAAACCAGTGCTTGTATGGGTATCACAAGTGAAGGCTCAGCCCAGTGTGCCACGATGCCAGCCCTTGGAGTATTTGTACTCAGCACTGACATTGTGGATTGGGCTATAGATGCATAACCCCAGAACACCGCAACCACTCTACCTCCAGGTCTTCTCCCAGCCCCATCCTAAGCCTAGATGCTCCTAAATAGACCCTCCTAATTCGCTTACCTGATCAGAGGATAGAGCTCAGAGGTGACAGGTACCTGATGTACCGTGTAAGATTCCGTTCAGATCTATCCTGTAGCAGAGCTTGAGACAACAGCCTTTATATCTTGATCTAGGATGTGCTTTCACTTTCAGATGTGATGGAATGGGAAGTAGACTGGAATATAAATACCCGGCATATGATGGTCCATTGTCATTTCTCTGTCCCAGGAGCAGTAGGACTGTCTTTTGGAGCTTGCAGGTAGATCCCGCAGAAAGGCAGTGGTTACTGGTGGATTTTTTCCTGTGAGTCTGTTTTGCACAATATTTGAGGGGATTCAATCAGTGCAAAGACAGATACTTTTAAGGTACATTTTGGCATCTTTAGTCATGCCTTAGTAGGGGTTCAATATCTCGCATCAAGGGACTCATGAACTATCTAAGGATCTAAGCACACTGTTGATTTGGTGCAGTTTCCTTTGACAACTAGAACCAGCTTCTGTTGGTGGTTCTTGATTGTTGTGATGAATTGACAAGTCAACTTGACAGAACCACTAGCTGGCATAGCCAAAACCCCTATAGCCTTCTATGTGGGAAGAGTCTGCACAAAATCATGGTGGGGACACTTGGTGGTAGTCTGATGGATATTAGAGCAACTCAGTCAAATAAAATTCTGGTTTATTGTTAGGAGTAAAAATACATATTTTATCTTTTCTGCAAATCATGCGAACAACATGTAGTTTAAATATGCATGCACACAACAAGTTAATGGAATACCCAGTTGAAGACTGTCTTGGGGGATTGTTTTTGCTTCTTTTAACATTTTTTTCAAGTTATTAAGTCATTTATAAAGAACATGGTCCCACAAGTAGAATGAGACATAGACACAGAATATAGGTTTGTTTGCTCATCCCGAGATCCTTAAAAATGAGTGACCTCCAACATTATGTGTGGAAATATAAAATCTAAATGTAAAAAACATTTTGTTTTGAAGGGACAGAAAATCAGTGCCTGGAAGTTTGGGTTCTTTGTCTTCTTGGTCTGCAACTTCAGGTGTGGCTGGGACTGGATGGTGCAGAGCGCATGCTGCCAGCAGGCAGCGCTGTGTTCAGGGCTGGCCCTGTGAGGCTGCAGGTTGACCAGGTCACAGTGGCCATTTTTGTTGTCTTTTAAGATTCATTTTTCATTTTCCCCGTGTAGTCATCCTCCTCAGTGCTCTGCTTCTAGGTGCGAGCATTGTCATCTTCATCGTCTTTAGCTGCCTGTTTGCCTGTGGCTGCCTGGGCCTCTGTATCTCCACCTCCATCCCCTGCCTCTCCTTTGCCCTCTTCTTCTTCCTCTGTGCCACCTCCCCATTTTCTTCATTTTGGTCTCCTTCCCAGCTTCCCAGGAGTTCTGCTTTAAGCTCTAGGAAGGAGTGTTGTGGCTTGTGTCAGGGGCTGTGTCTGGTAGGGTGGTGTTTGCAGATGACCCAAGGCAGAGATTTCAGAGACCTGCAGAGCCTTAGGGCAGTGTTGGGGAAAAATGACTCAGATAAGTTCTACTGGAAGAAAGTCTAATTTTTTTAATTGTCTGGTTCTCCACACTTGATGCTAAGCTGTTCTCAGTGATTGGTGCCAAAGTCTGACTAACTACTCTAGAATGACATATGATGATGTTGGCCATTAATATATCATTGAATGGTCTGGCATCATGGTGTGCCTGTAAGAATATGATTTGTTGGGGTTTGGTTCTCACTGAGGCCAGCTCAGGTCAGAGGGTGAGAAACTAGAATGTGAGTGTGCAGAGCTGTGGACTGATATGGAAGGGAAGAGGTAGTGCTGTCAACTTCGCACGTACTGACAGCTGGGATGTGGTCACAGACTTTGAACACTCTTTGCAGTTACTGAAGACACAGCATATTTCCAGGGCTGGTGGTTTTGACAGGCCACAAGTGTCAGGGCTTCCTGTCCCTGTGGCTGAGAGACCTCAGACTGCCTGAGGGGCCACCCACATGCACAGGTATTTAGTAGTGTGGAGGTCACATATTTGAATATTGCCAACTCAGAGATGAAAGGAATGAAGGGCTCTGGTGGTGTGTTATTAGCCGCGACATGTTAGGAAGTGGCTGTAAACCCTACATAACACTGGCTCACACAGGGTCCAAAGGTTTTCACTGATACAAGCGGGACAGAAAGCAGATGTTCAGGTAGTCTTGAAGACTACTTGATTAGGTCCTGCTGCATTGGACCTTGGTGGGTTTTCCATTCCAGGGTGTGGCCAGTCTCCTCATGGTCAAAAAAGGGCATGTGTCTTCCAAGAAACCTGCTGGAGAATGGGAAATAAGGAAGAAAGCGAAAGTACCAACTCTCCCTTGAAGTCCTGATAACTGTTCTAGGCCACTTTCATTTTTGGTTCATTGGCCTAATCCTGTCACAAAATGACACTCACTCCCAGGAGGCTGGGATACACAATCTTCTCTCTGGGCAGCAGGAGGCCCAGCTGGAGATGCTGTTGAAGAGAGTGATATATATGAAGGGATATAAGCTGAGGACCAGAAAACGTCAGCGGGCACTTGACTCAGGCCCGAAATGCAAGGTGTGGTCCAAAAACTCAGTAACCTAGTGAAGTGCTCTCGTGCAGTATTTTCAGATATCCAACAGACACACAAAACCCAGGATGGGCTACAGCATCAACACTGGATGCAGAAATGGCATTCAGTGACTGGGCCCAAGCAGAGCACATGTGTCCTGAATGGGGAGACAGTGCAGGTCAGAGTGCTGCTGACTTCATTGGACATCTTGGCCACAGCACGGTGTTCCTGAGGGAGGCTTGGCTTCCCAATGGAGGTGGCCAAGCATTTGTCTTATGCCCAGATTGTCCTGGTGATATGTTGAGGAGTCAGCATTTGTCAAGCCTGTAATGGGAAATGGAACTAAAAGGTGACATTCTGTAGAGTGAAAGATGCCGTGCATGAAGGAAAAGAATCCAGTGGATAGAAAAGGCTGGGAACACATACGTGTGTATCTACTGCATAAAATACATGGCAGAGTACATAAGGTGTTCATGTCTGCTCCTTTATGCCTTCAGGGTGTGTGTGTGTGTGTGTGTGTGGTTGTTGTGCACATGGTCTATTAGCAGTCTTATTTCTCTCACTCCAAGGGTGTATGACCCAACCCCATCCCAGGGAGAGACTCCCTAAGTCTGTTTATTGTATGCAGCACAAAGCCCGGGGTCCACTGATGTCCTTGGAAATAATATGGTAAACTCTCATAGCAGTGTACTCTCCCTGCCCAAAGACCATGAGCTAGCACAGAAAGAAGGCACAAAGGGGCAGTCCCGTGGTGATCCATGACTCCTGGCAAGCAGGGAGAACCAACTGAGAGGAAAGCAGAACTGTGGGAACAGGGTCATTTCCTGGGTATGTCTGGGACCTGTGTGCCAGGAGGGACACCTTCACCTTGTGGCAGTGACCTCACAGAGCAGACAATGGACTCTACACCAGGCCATTCAGTTAAGGGGGCTAGATGGGAACAATGCTGGAGCTGTTTCTGCTGGCTGCCATGCCTGGCCAGCAGACAGCTCTTTGTGAAGGTCACAGGAAGCCCTGGCAGCCATGTCTCAGCCCCTACCACAGCTGAAGTTTTTGAGACCCCTGTGGAGCTTCTAGTTTCATGAGTCACAGATGCAGTAACTGGTACTCAGGAAGCCCAGCCCTAAGAGCCTCCATCTGCTGCGTTCACAGCTGCTTTTCCCTTCATCTCTGCTGGCAGAATTGCTAGGTCCCCTTGTTTACATCTGTCTCCATGACTTAAGAAGCAAAAATAACTGCCATGGCTGAAGGCTTGGACAGTACTTGGTACCCAAATATAAGATATTGGACTGCAATTTCACAAGGTAAATGTGCTGCATTTTCTTAAGCCAAGGACAGTTAAGAACCATGGCCTGAAAGGAGGTTTTGGGGAGTGTTTGCCTCAGAGGTAGTCCTGGTGAGATAGTGAGTGTCGGGCCGGGCTGGGTCCAGCTGTGTGTTCTGTTTCCAGTCTCCTGAGGTGATTTTCTAGCTGCTCTGGCATAGCTGTCTTCCAGCTGTCCCTGAGCATGGAACCAGAGTGGACACCAGGACTTAGACCAGAGTCTCTATAACTGCAGGCTACAAGTTATCTTCTTTTCCTAAGTGGCCTGCATTACATGTTGACAATTGCCTAGCAATTGCACAGACATGATGAATCTCAGAATCGAAGCCTCCTGCTGATAGGCCTGTCAGGATGAAATCTTCTTACCCAGTTGATACAGGGCAGGTTTTGAGACATCCCTTGGCTCCTGCCTCACAAGGACCAGCACCTTTCCAATTTGCTGCACCCAAGGGCCGAGTGCCTGAGTTTCCTTCCAACACACAAATATTAGACACTTAGGTTCTGTTAACTGCAGCAACCCATGCCTGCATCAAAACTTGGTTCTTAGCTAGGATTAAGCTCAGCAATGTGCGAAAACCTTTTCCACATGCAAAGAAAGAACTGACCTTTGTGATCCCTGGAGTACAGAGGGGGTTTTCTCTGGGATGGGTATTCTAGCTCCTTCCAGAAAATGACCGTTCTTCATGAGGGCCTCCCATTCCATTCTCATGATCTTCCATGTACCAGGAAGCAAGGGGCAATTAATAGAGTGAACAAAGTTTCATTTTTATTTGTCATCAAAGAAAGAGCCTTAGAAGCTGATGTAGGATTTCCCAATTCCACTGGACATGGCTTTGTCACATTGGCACTAAACTCTAAGAACCATTGGGAAATTTATTCATTGATGGAGAGTCATGTGTGCAGTCAAGTTACTAGTACAATTGAAGAAGGAGAGAAGAACATGGCATGTGATGGGAACTTTGAGATGTTCCACATGAGGTGACAGTGAGTAGGTAAGACTGAAGCCAGGAGCCAGGAGCCCTAGCCTGGTCTCCATATGAGTGGCAGTGGCCCAAGTACCTGGGCCATCAGCCACTGTGATTCCAGGTGCATTAGCAGGAAGTTGGATTGATAATGGAGTAGCTGGGATTCCAACTGGCATTCATATGGGATGCCAGCATTGCCCAAGTGAGGACTTACCTTGCTGT